CAATTCGTACTTGAGACAGGACGCAACCTTGAGCACAGTAGCGTGTCAAATTTTTTGGGGCCCCCCCCCCGCGAACTTTTTTTTCAGGCCCCCTATGTCACTATTATATTTTCCAAAAATAAGCCATTATAGTAAATATTTATACACAATATCATTATCTAATAGTTAAAAAACACAGCGAATTTTTGAAACTAAATTTATTTCTATAAATTATTATATGTTATTATAATATAGGAGGGATGATTAAAAAGTTCTAAAAAAAAATGTTCTTCTAATACAAGGAAAACATACAACAAATATTTAACTAATAAGTACAAAGATATGGAATTTAATATTTTAAATATCAACTCAAAACTCAAACGTAACAAGTGAAACAACAGACTGGCTATTAACCGGAAATTGCCATTAAAACGGGGAATAACCTATGGGAATCACTGAGGTTTCGACCAGCCAGGGTTGACAATTGTTTGGGCGTTCACATTTTTTATGTTCGAAAGAAATGGTGACAAATTAAATATGGATTTGAAATGTTTAAATGTTCATATTTGTATTTTTGGAATTTGTTTGATGTACATAGGTATTACTTTTTCGAGGCTATTTGATTCCTTATTCTGATTAGCACGAAGCGCACAGCATTTTTGGAAAGCCTAAATCGCTGGACAAATTCGTTATCATTTAAAATAACAAAGAAATCAGGTCTCTCCCTGAATTTCTTTGGCATTCTGCGAGCATTCCGAAGAACATCCAGGACCTCCAAGAAATCCTCATCATCTGTAAGGTCACCAAGTACGTCTTGAAAATTCATTTTGCAAAACCCCAAAAATTGTTAAACGCAACGTTTATATTCAAAATTCAAAATGTGTGGTTATGTTATCTAAAACCTTGGTTTAAGCCTCTGTTTTTGACGGTTCAGCGGAACTGGGTTCAACTTATACACTTGAACCAGGTTTAAGGATAAACCATGCTTGTACAACCACTTTTCTCAGTTGAGCTTAGCTTAAATCTTGAACCACACTTAAACCAGGATTGTACAACCGGGCCTTAGAGTATATTGGAGGCCCGGGGGCCCCCAATATACCGGGGGCCCCTCCGCGTGGCGGGGTCTGCGGGGCCGTTTGACACGCGCCTGCTTGAGCATCGACTATGAATACGGGCCTAAATTACCTACAAAACTGTTTTTTATTGATATTCTAGGTTGTTTCTGTCTCCGAGATATAAGCCGTCAAAGCTGAAATTTCTCTGAAAATGTATTTGAAGTAAATTTTCTCAAAAACGGTTCCCCGTGGAGAGGTAACTTTAATATGCTTTTTTGTAGTTCTCCATGAGTTCTACAAGTTTTGTATTTAAGGCTTTTCTCTCAGGCTCTTCGTTTTCCAGCTAGGATGGTTTGAAATTTAAAAAAAATGAAATAAAGGCTGTTTTGAATTTTTTTGTCATGACGGTCTAGAGGGGATCCCAAATATCTCCTAAATGGGTTCAGTTTATTTTTTTTCTCGTTTTTGCCTTGATATAAAAAAGGGGTTGTTAATTACGAAGCTATCACTCGGTTCGGATATTTATTTTTTTGTGTACAGATATTTATTGAGGCAGATAAATTGTCATAGCTTCAGGCTAATATAACAAATTTTCCATATCGTTTAGCTGTTACAGAAAAATTAGTACCCAATGGACATACGCCCCTTTGTAGGATCTTCGTTACAATAATTTAGACACATACGCCAGTATGATATTTATTGCCAATATTGTATTTATAGCTTTTATTCTAATTAACATACTCTAGAAAAAAACAGGGAATGAAATTGAAAAATAAAATAAGATTCGAAGTACCTATACGGAAACAAAGGTTTTAAATAAGTAGGTACCTACTCAAATAACTGAAACACTAGTTTTCGTAAGGAAGATCCCTAAAATATTTTAGGAAAGTTGGGTCTTTCACTAGTGGTGCTGGTCCTTTACAAAGATCCATAAGACATTCATACTTTCCGAATTTGAGTTTAATTGGTAGTGTAGTAAAATTAGCAGATTTTGGGGAGTAAGGTGGAACAAATTGAAGACAAATGCTTAATGGTGGAAATTTGAAGAGACAGGTGTCCCTAATAATACATTGTTTTTCATTTTTAAAGATCTCTTTTGAATTTTTTTCATTCTCAAGAATCTTTGGTAGATTTTTTGTTTGTTTTCTGATTTTCAAATATTTCTGTTGAATGTTCTCTCATTCCCAAGAATCTCTGGTGAATTTTTTGCTGTGGTTTCTCATTCTCAAAGATGTCTGTTGAATTTGTTGCCATTCTTGAGAATCTGTTATTAGTTTTTAATTTTTTTCATTCTGAAAAATCTCTTTTGAATCTGTTGTAGTTCCCCCATTCTCAAAAAATAAAAATCTCTGTTGAATCTGGCTAGTTTGTTTTTTATTTTCAAGAATATCTGTTGAGCTGTTCTTCATTTTTACAGATTTCTGTTGAATGTTTCTCATTCTCAAGATTTTTTGGTAGATTTGTTGTTTCTGATTGTCAAAAGTTTCGGTTGAATGTTTTCTCATTCGCAAGAATCTCTGGTGAATTGATTGGTGTAGTTTCTCATTCTCAAAGATGTCTGTTTTGATCGAATTCTTCAGAATCTGTTATTAGTTTTTCACGCGGTTTTTCATTCTGAAGAATCTCATTTGTTGAATCTGTTGTAGTTCCCGATTCCCAAGGAATAAAAATCTCTGTTGAGTCTGGTTAGTTTCTTTTGAATTTGTAAAAATCTTCTGTTGGATGTTTCCTCAGGATGTTTCTCATTCCCAAGAATCTTTGGTAGATTTGTTGTTTGGTTTCTGATTTCCAAATATTTCGGTTGAATATTTACTCATTCTCAAGAATTTCTCATGAATTTATTGTGTGGTTTCTTATCTCAAAGATACGTCTATTGAATTGATTGTCATTCTTTGAGAATCTTTCATTAGTTTTTTATCCTGAAGAATCTCTGTTGAATCTGCCGTAATTTCCCAATCGGAAAGAATCAAAATCCCTGTTGAATTTGGCTAGTTTGTTTTTCATTTGCAAAAATATTTGTTGAGCTGTTTTTCTTTCTTGGAGATCTCTGTTGTTTGGTTTCTCATTTTCAAGAATTTCTGGTGAATTTATTGTATAGTTTCTCATCCTCAAAAATGTCTGCTGAGTTGGTTATCATCAGTGACGTATTTTAAAATTTGGCGCCCTGGGCCTATAAGGTTTGCCGCCCTATAATTCAATAAAAAAATTAAATAATGAAAAAACATTTTAACAAAAAAAGAAACACTGTAAGTCAAAGATTACTGTAGTGCAGTGCATAGAATCATACGTAATACTATTTCTTTATGAGAAAATGCTTCCTTCAAATTCTTTTCCTTATTAAATAATATGTTGAGTTGCCTCAAACTCATTTTGTTGCTTTGTTGTTAAGATAGCATTCCTAAGTGCTGAGGACACGGCTTGTGCCGCCCCTGGCAGCCCTACCGCCCTGGGCCATGGCCCCCATGGCTTTATGATAAATACGCCACTGGTTGTCATTCTTGAGAATCTGTCATGTAAATTTGCATTCTAAAGAATCATTGAATCTGTTAGCTGTTTCCTATTCGCACAAAAATGAAGAATAACATCTAATTATATGTAGTTTTTTTTTTTTTTTTTGAAGAAATTATTTAAGGTTTCCAACTAAAAATGATAGCAATTTTTTTCTAACTTGCATTGCAATATTTTATTTTCGATTTTATGGAACTTTTAGCATATCATTAATGACCAAGGAAACAATACATTTTCGGTAAAAAACCCGTTTCTTTATTAATTTGTTTCAACCCAACTGCCAATTTGACCACACTATAGGGAGTACATTTTTGTAAAGGCTGTGTCATTGCATTTAGGGTATTTCTTTTGAGAGAGAAAGTTTCGGAAACGCTGATTCGATTTTTCATCAATCGCGTTTATTGAAGAAATATGTTTCCGAAAAGACGCAATGTACCAAAATGGCGTAAGTCTAATATTTGGATATACGCCTTTTAGTCAGATCCTATATGCAATTGCTGTGTACTTACGCCTTTAGCTGATTTTATGTATGGAGAGAAGTAATACCTTTGAACATACGCCCTCTTGTCAGATCATACATACAACTCTAAGAAATCACTCGGCGACCCTAACTCCAATACGGAATAATTGACCGCCCCTATGTCAGATCAGCGACGAATAGATGATATAATAAAAGCAACGTTCTACTATAAATTCTTATCAAAATTTGTGAAAATGGCCACATTCCTGCTTGCCGCCACCATTAAAAGTCCCAAAAATACCGTAAAAAGGCCAAAATTTCGCGCCTGCGGTGAAGCTTCATGGATTTCTCCCTAGAAATTTGCCCCTTCTCCTCAAGACAAAATCCTAGCTACTCCAATGGTGCTGCCGAAGCCGAATATAGCCGAGCTGCCGAAAATGCACGAATTTTAATATAATGCAAGGACAATTATTGATCCAGCGTGGCGATCCTGCAGTGAAATTGTTATCTGTCAACTGGTCCCATTTAAGCATATGTGCCTAGTAGTCTAGTCCTGTCTGTATAAATAATTCTACTTCTGGTAATTCTTGGAGCCCGAGCTCCCACAGTAATTTTGAAATTCCGGCGCCTATGTGTAAAGCGATAAGGGTGAGAACGCAAAAACAATAATGTCGATAGTATATGCAGCAAGCATGAGCAAACGCGCGCGCAGCGCCAGAAGGCGGGCTCAGTTTGTGCGTGGGACATCATAGTGCTAGGAGTCAGAACTTTGCACCTATCGTTCGTCGTAGCTTAGTTTGGTTTGAGAATTTGTTGTTAGATCTTTTTTTTCTAATATTAATTAATTTATTAATAATTAAGAATTATAGCTCAAGTGAAAACGTCAGAATGGCGTGGAAAGACATATAAACTTTTTCAGCAAATTATATATGTAGATTGAAACACGAACACTTTAATCTTTTACAAACAGTATATTTTAATTATTCTCATCAACAATAAAATAGGGAGCTTAAAAACTTACAGTCTACAATGTAAAACTATAACTGGAATGGTTTCTTTATCAAATTTATTCTACCATCAGCTGAGATTTACAAACAAGAAATTTACAATCTAAATTTAGCGGCTCTCAAAATGGGGAAATGGTCGTTTCCGCAAGTTCCTCTGAAGTCATCCAAGGTGATATCAAAAATGCCTATTCCTCCTAGACCTTTAGCTTTGGCATAACTAGCTTTGTTTCCTGCAGTATCAGGATCTTCAAATCCTACCCAGATTCCATTGTTTCCGTCACTGTCTGGCAAACGGAAAGCATATGAACCTAAAACAAATTGAAACGATTGTAACAACAGCTAGAAAAAAATAATAATAATAAAGCATACAGGTTTAGGTATATGCATACGCACATTACTAAAATATGCATCTTTACTAAAACTATAAATAGAGGCATTGATGTTTAATATACTGGTATAATATATCTATGACTTCACTCCAGATGTGGAAAACCTTATTGGAGTCGATATTGTTAATGTATCTCTGCTTTCCAAATTATATATACCTAGTTTGATACTAAATATTACATATAATTTTAATGTGCCATGTAAAAGTTATTTGGAGTAGAAAAATCCAATAGTATGTGCCTCAAATCAAAAATATGAATTACCTACCATATCTGTTAGTTACATCGCTAACATTCCAATATTGATATTCTTGTTCTGTAATATAATAATATTATCTTAAATAGTAGGTATGCTAGGGCTTCCAACTGAAAATTGTATGGCAGTAAGAGAAACACAAATATTTTCCTGTTACTCCTACCTCACTTGCATGCACATTAGAAAATTTGTCTTAAAAACTCTTACCATATCGTTTGGTCGGGTCATTAACTTTCCTAAGCTTGCCGAGATAGCCAGCCTGAATTTCTTTTTGATTTGCGATCTTGCTGCAAATTTCCGAATAACTCATAAGTCCAGGTTCGTTAGTGTAGGGCCCGGCTTCAGCAGCCCCATCGGCAGACACCGGCGGTACTCCAGTCAAGCCAGAGTCTCCGTCTAATTTCCAGGTGCGGCCGAATGCTGGAAAGCCAAGGACTAGTTTGTTGGCTGGCATACCCTGTCCTAACCTGTAACGGAAAGAAATTTAAAACAAATGCTTGAAAAGTTCCCAACTGATCGATGACCGCAATTTATCAAAAAACACCAGCTGTGCCTGTTTATCTCATGGTTAGCCGTAAGCCAAACAGAAAAAAATCCTAAAAACAAATTGGTTTAATTTTAAAATTTTACATGAAAATTATCCTATTAACACACCTCTAATGCGCACCTAAAAAACCTACAATAGTATAGGTTCACTTCTAGGAGTGACAGCAAACATTTGATTGCAGTCTAGACTAGAAAAAAATGAATGTAGGAAGAGTTTCAAAAATTCGCATAAGATTTTATTATCCATCTTTCTGATAAATACACACTGGTGTGGTTTGATATGACGAGTGAACAAACGTTAACTAAAAAAGGGGAGGCGTTGGTAGCATTATTTACGAAGAAGGCTTTGCCAAAAGCATAGTCATTACATGGATTTATGGGTTACCAGAAGTCAACTATGTATGCGAAGTAGTCGAAATATATGTATCGCTAAATGAATAGAAACAGCAGTATACAACAGAACGAAATTCAAGGTAAATAGTAAAAAATTAGTAAAAAAGAAAAAAGAAGGGATACAAAATAATTATACTTTGGACCGAGCAACAGTTTCTGTCAATGATAATAGAAGAAAAGTCCATTTAGTGAAACTTCGAAACTTCCTTGAATATGCGAAGTGTTACAGATCTTTGAATGAATGATGGGCCCAACGAACACAAAAATGTTTATTAGTGTTTTATATGCTGCTATAGCAGTATCGTAGGATATTTTACTCGTATACAAATTCTTAATTATAGTTTTCTGATAGGCAATTATAATACACTTAAAAACACGAAAACGGACCACTTTATAAAATATATCTGTCGTATTAAAATGCTTATAATGATCGTGAGTGACAGCTATACAACTATTTTACTACTGCTATAGACCTATAATAAGAGTAGTTATGAAACACACCTGTGAAAGGAATACAATTATAGTGACACCGCGGCGAAACATTTTTACTTCCCATGGACTACCTCTCGCTCTTCAATTTTGAAAATCTAGCCACCCTACTTAAAGTATGCTAGCGTGGCGTTCGGACGAATCCTAGAGTCATCAACAATCCCAACATCAGTGCTGAGACCAAACGTCGCACTACTGTTGCGTTGCACGCCATTGGCTGATTTTCGTTGTGGGCGGAGCTTGTATAGGGCATCGACGAAACACATAAAAAGAGCCGTTTTCAGGCCAAGTCAGTCAGTTCTTCTCAGACAGCGATCGAGTCTTCAACTCACCTGCCTGCCCGGTTCTCCGCCGGAGACAAGAACAGCTCTCACCTCCCTTGTACGACAGGAATACTGTGACATGTACCCGGTATTCAGGACCACATATTAGGCTGGTAACAAAGCGACGAGGGTCCCCTCACTATCGGGATCAATTTAGTTGGCCAGTGGACGAGCCCCCCATTGTGTTACTGGTGCGAGCTACCTACGGGTACGAAAAAAGAAAAGAGAAAGCCCACGATATAACCCCCTCGGACGCGTATTTAAGCTTCCAGACAAGCCTAGTTCGTCGCAAGGAAACCTGTATCAATCCTCGCACTGGAGGTTGATGTCCTAGAGGAGTACTTCACTTAAATTACCACCCAATACCCGACGAAGTCCTCAGAATAACTGTCTGGAAGAAAAAGAAAAATTCGTTTGATTTCTGGTTCTTAATTGAGCCCCGCGTTTCTAATTCGGCACATTCGTGCAGCATTCCGTCTAGAAAAACCTAGACTCCTCCTCCGCGTTTGTCATTACTGTTTGCGGATTCCTTCTTCAAAGGTTTCCGGCCTTCCGTGACCGTCGTCGACGATTTTCGTGGATTTTTATGAAAATTCAATTCACCTCTGCAAGCTCCACGACGAATTAAAACTCTGAAATTAAATAATCACTTTCTTCTTCCAATGGCTCACCAAGTTGGGACAGAATTTGAAAAAAGACAGAAGTCTAAATTATCCAAGCTTGAATTTTTCTTGAGGCTTTTTTACGAAAAATCTCAATTTCAATTTAACTCAAAGCAAGACAGCTTCGCCGAGTTGGGACAGAGTTTTTAAAAAAGACGTGAAGTCGAAACTACCCCCAGCTTGATTTTTTTTTCTTGAAATTTTTTAACGGAAAAGTCTCAATTTCAATTTGACTCAAAGCATGAAAGCTTCGCCGAGTTGGGACAGAGTTTTTAAAAAAGACAAGAAGTCGAAACTACCCCAGCTTGATTTTTGTCTTGAAATTTTTTAAGGGAAAAATCTCAATTTCAATTCGACTCAAAGGGAGAAAGCTTCGACGAGTTGGGACAGAGTTTTTAAAAAAGGCAAGAAGTCGAAACTACCCCCAGCTTGATTTTTTCTTGGAATTTTTTATGGAAAAATCTCCATTTCAATTTGACTTCAAAGCAAGATAGCTTCACCAAGTTAGGACAGAATCTTATAAGAAGGCAAAAGCCGAGATTACCTCTAGCTTGAATTTTATGGAGGGTTTTTAGGAAAACCTCTTTTCCACTACAGAGAGACGAAACTTGACTAAAAACACACGAACCTTAAAGGTTAGACTGGTTTTCGGACCTGGTGCACCGTTTCTGTTCCCCGTGTTTTTATTTGTCACTTAACTTCTCGAAGCCGCCCGACGGTTTCCTCAGAGTGCCATCTGAGTTCAACGTTCTGTCGTTGTAAATAAAAGTTTCTAGACACCGTGTAAATACAACTTTGGCCCCTCGGACTTCCAAAAAACCGAGTTGGAGCCCTGATCCCATTCACAATAACTACGTCAATTCTCACTTCCTTTTTTCTGGAGGCTGCTTGTTCGCAAGCTTATTCCTTAAAGAACCAGCGGAGTGGTTTTGGCGGGACCTCCTCTCAGTACAACTGAGAAGTTGTACGCACACCGTGGGAAACAAAAAGGGTTGTTGTTTAACCCCAAAAACAACTGGCATCCAAACTGACTTTGAACTTTGACAAAAAATAATGGACAGATGCAGTCCAGACCTCTACGGCGCCACTCTAGACGAGTTGGACACGATTCTTACGCAAAGCCCCATTCCTCCGACTGTGAATTTAACGAGTTTGAAGTCCCGCTCGCCGCAACAAGTCTAAAGGCGGGCGGCCACTCAGGGGCGCCGACTACGTGGGTGCTCGGGGGCTCGAGCACCCACGAGACCTAAACAGTGGGTGCGAAGCACCCACGAGCATAGACTTAAAAACTGATAATCCTCTCTAGTTCCTGGAAAACTGGTTAATTTTGTACCTCGCGTTCCTGAAATCTGGTTAACCAAATGTCAAAATAGTTACCGGCCATCGGATGTCGGTTCTGTTGGTTTTATCAAGGTTTTATCTGTAACTTCTGTCAATTATGTTTTATTTCCATATTTGCGTTCCCCAAAGTAACCGGAATTTTCAGTAAACATCTGTTGACCGATTCGGTTTCTTTAGCTCTGTTCCAGCAGACATGAAAACCTTTCTAGAACGTTCAACTTATTGAAAAATAGGTGGGCAACTGGAAATTGTTGGTTCTGGAACGGTTCTCATGTCCGTTGGATGGAACAGAGCTAATGGTTATGGTTATATTTGGACCATAGCCTTATATAGGTTATGTTTCGATATTAACTCTGTCAGTACTGAATTTAGTGGACGCCGTTCCGATATCATTTTCAGTAGGTACACTGGATTCAGTCGATTCAGTACTGAATGACCACAAGAGTACCCTGTTGAACTTGGAACGGCAAATGAAATCTTGTATGAAGAACAGCGTAAAACGCAGATTTTCGGTACATGCTGCTTGGAAAAGAATATCTGCAGGAGAGTTTTCCACACTTTACAGTAGAGTGTTTTCACAGCTAGCAGACCAATACCCACCTCTACCACGTAAAAACTCCCCTCCAGCACAGCCATCATACCACTAAAGTTCGCCTTACGCAATATTACCTATTTGATTTCCAATAAGAAATACCTTAATATTTATTTATATTATACGCCTACATTTATAAGGAAAAAGTAATATTCAAAAACGTTGCACGCTCGCCTATGACAAGCAGCATAAAGCTCGAAATGAATGGCGTTATGTCCCCTTGCTCTTCAGACGTCGTAGTGCTAGATTCGTAAGGCGGACTTTACCCACCTCCACTGTACCCCCTTACGTGAAGCTCCTACCCTGAGGAGGCACTTTTTACCCACCTGCACTGTAAACCCTCTTCCGTAAAGCCCTCCATTAATCTATTTTCAAAAGGCTCTTACCCTGAGATGGCACTTTATTATATCCCTTCACTTTCTTGAAAACTAAAGAATATTTAACCAATTCTTCCATTTGTATTCGAATTCGTCAATTTTGGGGTTGGCCCAAGTCAAATCCCCAAAATTTCAGATCAAAAGCGCCGCCGATCTAGAGATTTTCCCACGGTATCGAAAAACTTCCCAGGCTCAAGTGCCCCCGGCTATTAGACCAATACCCGCCTCTACTACGTAAGTGGTCCACCAGATTCACAAGCAACATGTTATTATTGCAATAAAATTAATCTCATGGAGTTTAGAACACTATTGACGAATACAAATGCAGGAATTGTTGAAATATTCTTTAGTTTTCAAGAAAGTGAAGGGATATGGAGATAGGTACCTCTTCAGAGTAGAAGCTTTTTGACGTAGTGGAGGTGGGTATTGCTCTGATAGCTGTGAGGTGGGTATTGGTCATAAACAGGTGCATTAATTTTATTGCAATAATAAATATTTTGCTTGTGAATCTGCTAGTCTGATAGCTGGGGGCTCTTGAGCCTAGGAAGTTTTTCGATACCGTAGGAAAATCTCTAGATCGGCGACGCCTTTTGAGAATAGATTAATGGTGGGCTATGATGGCTATGCTGGAGGGGGGCTTTTACGTGGTAGAAGTGGGTATTGTTCTGATAGCTGTGAAAACACTCTACTCTTTATCCTTATGGCCGTCCTTTTTTTCCAATTTTAGCAGACACCGCAAAAAACTTACGCAAGCACCAAGCAACACTTCCCGCAGCTGGAAAACGAATATGGAAAGGTGTGAACTACGTTGTTTGAAATGTATTACCATTCCCTTCTTAGACACTCGTCCGAATGTAAATTAAGGAATGCTGGTAAACGTTTTTGGGCGTGGTTTCTGGAGAAGTTTTTTCGCCACCGGCGGGCTGTTCACCCCCCCCTCATGAATACCGGTGCATGAACATCAGCACCCACGAGGTTTTCTGAAACCCGGCGCCCCTGCGGCCAGTGCGAGCGGAACGAAACTAAGCTAAGCGAAGATAAGTTTTCAGTAAATTAGTTACCATACTCTCAAATATACCCTCGGCCATTTTAGCTAAACTAAGCGAAGATTTGTCAACGAAGATTAAAATCTTAGTTTCGTTTCGTTCGATTTAGCTCGTGTCAGATTCGAACGAAGTTTTTCGCTGCGAATTTATTATTTATTTACTTTCCACTGTGTTTGCACATAAAAAGTATGATTCTACAGATGCTGACTTCGAATACAGATCCATTTTTGTTGCAACAGGACTCATTCTAACTTTTTAAATAAATTTATAAGTCTTTCCGCATGAAAACACAGCTGAGAACTAAACGAAAATCGTTCCCAGTGGCCGCTCAAACTCAGTTAAGTTTAGTTACCGTTAGGTTCTTCTAGCACAGCTCAGTTTTGTTTCGCTCGCAGTGGCCGCCTACCTCAAGTCCGCCCGACGCAGCGGAACTTAATTTTCTACGCTCCCTTTTTGCCGAGCTCGAGGAGTTCAGGCAACATAAAGAATTGGAAGCTAAGAAAAGCTTATTGCATGACACTACAATGCAGTTGTATAGGGAAAATAATTATAGCTATTTATGTACCAAGGGGATTATGTAGATTATAATGCTCGAATGCGAAACTAAACCGAGGGCCTCTGGCCCGAGGGATATATTCCGCCTGAAAGGCATTATAATCTTAAAATCCCCGTGCTGGACTACATGGGAAATGTTGATGGTAGACCAGGTTCAAATCCTGGCTAGACCGAATATTATTTTCGGTCAGACATTTAGTGGCTGCCTAGGGTAAAGTGCAAATTAAAAAAACAACAACAAAACTTCAAAGTATTATAAGCGGGAGTTATAGATCATAACGCCCGCAAAAGCGGGCGTCGTCAAAATTTATGACGTTAGCATGTCGCAATGTTCAATGTTGCCGCATCAACTTCGTTTTACTTGGACATACCCATACCATGTCTAGTAAAGTATGTCATTTCCCCAGGTTACACTTTTATTATCTAATAAATTGATAAGAATCACTAATACTAAAAAAACGAAATTCTAATAATATAATTTTATAGCAAGTATACTCAAACTATATCCCAACTATCAATTCCCGACTCGTAAAAACTGACAACAAACCTCAAATAATTGAAATCAATAACCGAAGATTTGCAGAAGGCAACATTACCCACGAGTGCCAATCTGAATCCCATTTTATCGCCAGATTCGGTTATATGATCCGACAGTATTCTATCTCTTTTTAACTAGGGTTAAACAAAAAAGAGAAAATGTGCTCTGAGTTTAAATCGAATTTTAGTTTCTTATAAACTGCAATTGGCAATCATTTCGAAGTCATTGATGACGTGCATCCTTTATTTTAATAATGTCACGAAGGAGCGGGAGAACAGAGGAAGAGACAATGTCGCCAGACACTGAGTGTGCCAAGACTGTGGAAACGTGTGCAGCTCCAGAATTGGTTTATATTGGTTTATATTACCATCACAAACCGCAAAACGACAACAAGAATAAAATAGGCAATAATCATACTCGATCTAGTGATCGCCTATGATGAGATGATACCTCTCTAATTCATCTAGAAAAACTGTAAATGTACAGAAAGCTTTTGACCATAGAACTTTAGACGACATCAAAGAACTTGACACATCAACACCATTTTCAAATTATTATAGTTATATGTTGAAATCTTGTTTCAGCGTTACTTCCAGCTAAAATTAGCTTTTCAATTTTTGTGAGTGCTTTGTGCCCCTCCATCGTTGTATCCTTGAGAAGGGCGTGTTTGGTGCGTGAATGGGCTACCTACGACACCCTACGATCGGTACTTCTCCCCACTTGTTAGCTAAATAACTAGTTGCTGCTTGTCACAAGAATCTTTTACGTGTTCAAGCGAACAATTTCCTGTTACTTACCTAACCTTTCAATTTTTTTCCAACAATTAATAGTTGAGCTCCCACCTTCGAAAGATCTTTCTTCGTTCAAATTATTAGTAGGTACTTTGTATTTAGGTTCTTATTAAAAATACATTACAAAGGTATATTTTTAAACGTAACTTAAGTTGAAACTAGTTCATATCATTAGCTTATTTAAACATGACATATTGAAAACCTTCAAACCAGTTCAAATTACCTACATAAAAGGAGTGGTAGAGGTTACAAAAATTAAACGCCTGACCGCGAGACAACACAGTTTTATGTATAGATATGCATGCATGATCGTTTTTCGCAACTAATAATTATGATGAGTGATAATTTGTGGTTGATTTGGCAATTCTTTTATACCAGCTCGATGAACAACTTACTCCGGACAAATTAATATTACAGCAGTTAATATAATGAATAAATTTGGTAGGATTTTTTAACAAATTAGAAATAGGTACTAGTAGGTACCGTGGAATCTCAGATTTACATAAACGTTCGTGTTCACTTGGTTTTCCTCAAATTTTGTACTTACCAGTATCTAATTTGATAATCAGCATTTTCATCGTATTTCCTATCCAAAAGCTCATAAAGGGGAGCAGGATAGTCAAGTTCTTTTGGGTTACGTTCTGGTGTTCTGTAGTCGAATGCTTGGATAGTAACAAAGTCTACATTTGGGGCAAGTTGTCGAGGGTCGAAATATACTGAAATAAAGAAAACATTTCTGGAGTTACTTCAGTCATTTATCAAACACAATCTTTTGTGGTTTTCAGAAAATTATTATAGAAACATTAAAATGATTACGTTTGAGAGAAAAATGTGTGGGTATAGCAGCTATAAAATCGGTATTGAAAAAATAGGTAATATCCACAAATTTTCGATTTGAGTTTTTTCAATTAATTATCATTTTCCTATGGGATACAATGCTGTTCCACCTTAATAAGTGTTTATGTAAACTTATGTCATATTCGTATGTGCGATTAGTTATTTTCACTTCCACGCCCAGCAAGAATGCAAGATGGATGTTATCTTTTCATTGTCTATGAAAATTCTTCTCAATATTTTTATCTTTATTTTTCCGAGGAAATAAGTAAATGTTACTTACCAGAACTGTTTACATTTGGCAACTGGGAAACAGTCAATAAAAGTCCGTCATGTCTAAATGCGTTTTTAATTTCTCTCACTAATGCAATAAATTGTTCTTTGTGTTCTTCGGCCTTTTCATCAACCACAGATTCACCAACAATTTTGTGTTTCAAGTTGACGAACCAGGATGCTAGAAAATTGAAACAAAATGATGATAATAATAAATTATAACTATTACGATCTATATTTCGCATTTTAATTTTCTATTATTTTTGGCAATACTTACAGACTTTATTGCGGATTTTCTTTGGTTTGGTCTCAGGGAATTCCCAGGCGAGATCAAGTCCATCGAATCCATAGGTTTTGATGAGATTTTGTGCAGAAGTTGCAAATTTGAGACGAGTGTCTACCGACTCCAACTGTAACAATGAGAATGACTTCAATACTTAATAAGGGATATAATAAGGATATAGTCTTGGTGCTTGTGTATTGAAGAAATAAACATAAGTGGATTTTTTCTAAAATTATAATAATCATGTTGAGAATAATTTCAAGAAAGGTCAATTTTATGCAAAACGGTTATCAACTACAGAGCGACCCGCCTAAAAAACTTGAAGCCTTGTAGCATAAAAAATGTCAATTTGTTATATAGACACATAATATAGGCATAAAAAATAGCTATTTATACAATAAGTTACGAAATGAGCGTCTTTTAGGCACGCGACGTGAAAATTGTCCAACGAGGCAAAGCCGAGTTGGACAACACGTCGAGTGACTAAAAGACATCGTTTCGTAACGTATTGTATACAAGATTTTTTCTACTGGCATTTTATAATAAAAAAACACAATTTTATTTCATGTGAATAAGTCGATTACACCCAAAATCTTTGTTACCTGCTTTTACTTGACACCTGACACTTTTCATGCGATTTTCTTTTCAAAATTCGACATCAATAATTAAAATCCTAGAAAGTAGGTAATAACACAAACTTCTGTTTTGAGTAACCCAAACGTTCAATTCAGTAATTCCATTTTCAATATTCATAATAAATACAAAACAAAATTCAAATATGTGTTTAGTGTGTTTTTTATTTCTGAATAATGAATGACACTTTTAGGCACTAGTGCTTAAAAATTACTTTTACGCACTCATAAGTCACTTTTACGCATTCAAAAGTCACTTTTACGCACTGAGTGCCTAAAAGTAACTTTCACGCACTCAGTGCCTAAAAGAATGTCGTTTCAAAACTGAAATGACAATCGAAAAGTTGCTATTATGAAACGTCAGTAGAAAAAATACTTTTTCTACTACCGTGCGTAAAGTACTCACTTTACGCACTATTCAGTCGACGTAAAATTCCACTTCACGCACTAGTGCGTAAAGTAATTCAATTCACACACTAGTGCGTAAAGTAATGTCAATGACAGATGTTCACATTGTCAACTTAGTATTTTTCTGGTAAATTACTTCACGCACTAGTGCGTAAAGTGAAAATACTTCACGCACTAGTTCGTAAAGTATTTGTTTAAATCTATTTTTTTACACATATTTGATTGGTAGTTGAAAAAATTTTGTATGCACTACGTGCGTAAAGCACCTTTTTTCACTCATGTAATTGTCGCACTCGCCTTAAAAAAGGTTCACTTTACACACTTGTTGCATAAATAACTATTCTTTTTTAGAAAGTATCATTTTTTCACCACAAAATTTTTATATTACAATTGTTATACCATTCAATAATACCCTGCCAAATCATCCAAAGCCAGTAGGCAGTCATTTTTGAAATTCTCTATTAATAATGTATTTTTTTTTTCTTATTGTTTTCACTTGAGAGAAAAAAAGCAACATACCAAAGTTCTATATTTCATATTTTTTTCGCTGCCTTCGCCGCTGACATCTCGGCCACCACCAACTGACAGAAGTACTCTTAGTCCGGGGAACCTCCTTTTTAATTCCGTTACATGTCTATAATTTTGCTTATTGATATCCAAAGTCTCATCTAGGGGAGCTATGCTGGAGGTGTCTTCCTTAATTCCAGCGTGCCCATAGATCAAATGCGTACAAAATTGAAGGGCAGGATCAATGAAAGACAAATCGAATTTGCCGTTTCCTGAAACAAAAATAAACATAATTTTTTTTTTGGAACAATCAGACGTAGTAAATTCCAAACATTAGATCTAAGAAATGTCTCATATTGTCTTCTAATCAACAGCATTGATGCTGATAGGATAGCTAGTGGATACATGCTGCGAGCACTTCTATAGCTTAGAAGAAAAGGGACACCATTTCATCCCAGTCTCCAGTATCGCTGGTGTTTATCCACAAACTTCAAATGGCATTGATTGTTTGATGGTCGGATTGTGTCTCTCTTAGAACTTGGAACAGCAGATATAAAGTCCGTCGATTTTAATCTGATACTCCAAAAAAATGTGAACTATTGGCTCCCTACATTAGAACGCCAGTGGCCACCTGACGTCACACCTGTTTTTGCCAAAAGCTTCACCCTCTCGCTCCTCATACTAAAAACGACGGAAAATAGATGCCGAGACACTGTACGTACAGTGTCTCGGACAAATTTAGTAGCATGTGAAAGTTCGCCATTTATGAGGGGAGAAGTAGTAGATAAACACACTTCTAGTGAAGATAATAATTGTATTGACCAGGTTCCAGAATCAATATCCAGTTAGTTAGCAGAGGAAAAGTTTAGCTATGAAGTCGAAATTGTTTCAAATATTTTGCAGATTAAAGCCCGGTTAGGTCAAAATGCACTTGGATGACAACTTGGACGAAGTAAGAAGTGAGTTGGCAGCCAGTCTACTTACTTGGTATGTTAGGACGTATCTAACAGTTGATACGATCCAAGTGAGGCGCGCGCAGCGTCCAAGGGTACTTGATCCAAGTACACATGTGGCTTGGACCGTGTTAACCTGGCTACTTGGTTCATATCAACTGTTTATCCAAGTCCAGCTGGATAGGTTCTAACATCCAAATAAGTAGGCTGGCTGCCAAGTTACTTGGTCCAGGTTGTCATCCAAGTGCACTTGGACCATGTTAACCGGGCTTTAAGATTAAAAATACACACGGGGACGATCGTTATAATAATAGTTTTCAAGCTTCAGCCGTTCTGAACCTGGGCAATATCCAATATCTGATTGTTAAGCCGGGTCCAGACTATGTACCAAAGTTGTACAACTTTGTTGTACTTGTTATAATATAGCAGAAGCATCCAGACTACATAACAAAAAACAAAACAAAATACTGACCATAATTTTTGCAGCATTTCAGCTGGTAGGGCGGTTCTGCGACTAGTTCAGTTCATGCGTCGTGTTTTTTTATTTCTGTTTTTAATATCCATAATTGTAGGATCCCCGTGTTTTACAACAAAGTTTTATAACTTCCTTTGATCTTTATCGACATCTGATGGATAACATAAAACATGCTATATAACCAGCAAAATGTTGTACAATAGGTACTGTGGTATGACTTTTTTATTCAAATTTCTTCAACAAGTTATAAAACTATGTTATTTAACATGTTTTGTTACATAGTCTGGACCTGGCTTTAGTTACTTACATATATTTGTCATGTCCTGTTACAGCTTAGTGTTATAGTATATAGCTTGAATTCTGAGGAATACAATCTAAATAATGAAAGTATAGTCTTACTACTTAGCAGACCCTATATTTGCACCTAGTCCGACGACAGTTTGTGTCTTTATATTTAGTTATGAAATTAGTATTTGGAATACCTATCCTATGTTGAAATATAAAACAATCATTTTTTTCCTTAATGACTTTTAATAATTATTGTTAGTCAAAAGTCGGGAACAAATTTTCTGCTTATTGCATTATTATTACCAATAGGTACCTACCTACATAATCCGCAGCGTATGTGAAAAATAATATCGAGCAACTTAAATTACAGCTTCTGTGAAAACTAAAATCGTTAAAGTTTTATTTCCCAAAATCAATAAAATTTATTTAATTGCCTATGAAATCAAAATAAATTTAATTTATTTTCAGGGAATACCTACTAACTGATTATCGCGGTGGCCTGAATGAAGGCTATGTAATTTTAATTCCAAGATCTGCAATGAGTCATAGCCGATTTGTGATTTAAATTATATTACGCACTCAAAAAATAAAACGCTGTTACAATGCATGATATTTAAATTATTTAATTAGGAACTAAAAGCACGGGTCTCATTTTCTCCATTCAGCTAAAGGCCACAAGAATCGGGAGACGTCATCAAAAGCTAATTTTGCGACATGTTAAAACAAAAACGATACACCTTGATGCGAATTTTAGTTGATTTAACTTTTTGCTAAGGTATAACAATAATATGCTAACTTTGATGCTAATTTAATTTGTTGTAGTTGCAGGTCATTGTAATGAAAGTTATGGTTGTTTTTTTTTTGCAAAAAAGTGAATCGAATAGTAAAGGGACCATACAGGATAATGTTCAACAAATTAGAGACAAACTGAAATTTGCTAAGAGACTGTGTTTTAGGGTACTAAATACCCTCTGAAACCCCAGCTCCAAGGCATTGAGCCCGTCATCCCAAAACTACCCCTTAAGTTGGGTAAAATCTACCTTTTTTTAGATTTTTCTTAATAACTCCAAAACTAAGCAGTTTAGGAAAAAATGTCAGGAGAGAAAAATTGTAGAGAAGAAAATTTTCTACCAAATAGATTAAAGCTTTTTTTTTCAGATGTGCAGTGGCGTACTAACTAAAAACTGCACTTATTCATTTATAACACTCTATTAAAAAGGCACTTTTTATTATAATGTATAGGAATATCATAAAGTGTTATTGTAGTTTTGAGGGTAAACTGTTAGAGACATAATTAAAACACAAAATGAGCCAGAGCGTTTATTATGCAAATAGGAAAAAAAAAGAAAATGTACGTCCACTTTTTCTGGGGCCAAACAAGTAATGCCATTGCATTGGCCACATGCCATAGAGCAGCTAAGACCAAAGACTACAAAAAATGTCAAGAGAGAAAAATTGTAGAGAAGGAAATTTCATACTAAAAAGTTATACAACAGTTTTTTTTCAGATGTTCAGTGGCGTAGATATTAGGTATTTAATTAAAGAGATTTCTCTAAAAACCCCACTTATTTATTTTTAATATTAAAATTGGCACCTATAAAGACTGAATCATTCCCTTTAAGAAGTGTCATTCATAACTTTGGTTATATCATAAACCTCAAGGTGACAGCTGTGGGTAACAGTAAAAAGTGACAGAGGGTAAAAACTCGCGCAAAAGTTGAGAATAGTTTTGAGGTCGATTTCCCAATAGCGAGTCACCTCCGGGTTGTAGTTACAATGCTTAATCCGGGGTGACTTGCTTTTGTATTATTGCAAAAAAGTTGACATTTCCCCGCTGCGATACAAATTTTTGAAAATTCCGCCTCTATCAGTTTTCGGGAAAAAAAATTATATTGGTTTTTGTCATAAGAAACAATGTGTTAGAAAGAAACCTTCCTCATTTTCCTTACAGATACCTATAAAGTCCTTTTTTAACACATTGTTTCTTATGAAAAAAAAAAAACGCAAAAAAAAAACTATCGAAATCTACATCTCAAATCAGCAAAAGCAGAGCTTTCTAATGAGCTATTAATATACATAGCTTTCATTTCAAAACTTGCCACCGACGTCATCTGCATAAAGAGACGTATTTCTGGAAATCGCCGAAACACGTCAACAAATTGATTGAGGGGGAACGTATTTTACGTAAAACTGGACTTCGCCGCTTCAATCCCCTAACCACCAGGGCTACCATCCCAAAATTTTTAAATGTGACAGGGGGTCGCCCATACACCATATATTACCCCTACACCATATATTATGCTATTCGGGGATTTTGATAATATACATACATATACAGGGTGTCCGAAATTCGAGTCTCTATATGGGGATCTCGCTTATTATGGGACATACAAGGTGGCTCAAATTAGGAAAGTTTTAGACACTTTTTTGAGACAGATATTTTCGTGATTTGAAAACATTCCGATCGTCGTTTGTTTTCGAGTTATTAACCAAACTTTTCTTATTTCTTATGGCGGCCATCTTAGATTTCAACAAAATAATATTCTGCGAAAAAAATCCTTTAAAATGATGTCCCCAGTAGCACACAATGTTGGTCCGATGTTGCGGATGCATTGGACCAATATTGTATATTGGCCCAATATTGGCATTTTTCAGCCAACATTAGACATTTATTGGTAATATAACTTCTTTCATCATTATAATAATATATTTATCCAAGAATGGGCCAATATGCACAAACAATATTTTTATCGGCAGCATATAGCCAAGATTGGTTACATATTGGCAATACAAATTTTTCTTATATAACAGTGATATATTTATCCATCATTGCACCGATAAGCACAAAAAATTTTTTTTTTTGTGCATTATTGAGCCAATATTGGCAATACAACTTTTTCTAATGTTACTATAATATTGTATCCATTAATGGACCAATATGGACAGATAATGTTCTTATTTGCATTATTAAACCAATATTGGATAAATAATGGCAAAATAAATTTTTCTAATATAACAGCGATATATTTATCCATATTGGCCAAATATTGATTCTGTATTGGTAAAATATTGTAAATAGGTCCAATATTGGCAATTTGTAGCCAATATTGGTAAAATATTGGAGATTTACCTTTTTCCTACATTATTATTATATAATACCTATGTGAATCCAAGATTGATCCAATATTGGATCCGATCCATGTTTGGCAATATCTTTTATTCATGTTTATATTTAATATTTATCCAATATTGGTGATATATAGGAGATGTACCTTTTCCATATCAATCAGGACTACCGAGAGAGGGCACCACGCGCTACTGATGGCCTTGCTCTTTCCTGGTGTTTGAGTTTCCTTCGAAACTGTTTCTTTGAGTTGGTGTGCTTCGCTAACAAGCTCGAAATCGGAAACCGGTCTAGTCTGCAGGCGTTAGAGCTTTGGTTAAATACATTTTTTTTTCCAAAAAAATATTGTAAATATTTCTAGGAAATATTGTAAATAGAAATATTTCATATTTATTAATTGTTAATATTGGAGAAATGTTTATATTCAATATC